CTCGGCGGTCTCACCGGCCTCAACCTCTGCTTTCTCAACCAAAACCACCTCTCCGGGAGCATCCCGTCTTCAATATCGGGCATGGCCTCCCTCCAATTCTTCCGCTTGTCCGATAACGAGTTATCCGGAAGCTTACCAGACTCAATTGGTAGCATGCGCAGCCTCCAGCGCTTCTACCTGAGCAACAACCGCATCTCAGGAGAGATTCCCAGCTCAATCGGACAGCTGGTCAACGCCACTGATCTCTACCTCGATAACAACCGCTTGTCCGGGAAAATCCCCACGGCCATTGGCCGCATGTCCAGCCTGCAGACCCTAGACCTGTCCAGCAACCATCTGGACGGCCCCATCCCGGTCCAGATATCTCAGCTCACAAACCTCCAGGATCTCCACCTTTCATTCAACCCCGCACTTAACCTGCGCAGTCCGCCAAGATTTCTTGGCAAAATAAATCTCTTCCAGCTCGGCCTGGCTGACACCGGGCTCGTGGGCGTGCTCCCTCGCTGGCTCGCATCTACCTCCATCTCGACCCTTGACCTCTCTAGCAACAAACTCGTGGGTAAGTTGCCCACTTGGATCGGCAACATGACCAACCTCTCCAACTTAAATCTATCCAACAACGCGCTCGAATCAGCGATCCCAGAAGAGTTCATGAATTTGACACAGCTCCTCGCCGTGGATCTGCACTCCAACAAATTCACGGGCCCCATCAGACCGGTGCTAGCCAAAAAGACCAGCGATCCGCTAGGCCATTACGACTCCATAGACCTCTCGAGGAACATGTTCACCGGGGGCATCGACGGAGACATGGGAGGGCTGCCAGCAATGGACTCGCTCACGGCATTCGATGTGTCTTACAATCCCTTATTAGGCGGGAAGATACCAAAGTCCATGGGCAACCTGCAAAACCTGGCAGTGGTGAGAATGGCCGGGGACGGGCTGACGGGTACGATACCTGCAGGAGTGCTGAACATACCGTCGCTTGCAGTGTTCGACGTGTCATATAACAGATTGCGTGGGATGATCCCGGCGCACAATGCGAGCCTTAGTGATGGCGGATTCAAAGGGAACCCGGGGCTCTGCGGAGCTCCACTGCCACCCTGCAAGCGCTAGGACAGGATTCGCACGATGGTGGGGGGGAGTCAACCATCTTTCTTTGACTCTTCATCAACTTTTGTCATATCTTTGTTTTATTTTTGTATTTATTGATTGTAAGAGACTTGTTTTTAGTTTTAATCTTCGGGTGTCGGTGCACTGGACTACTTGAAGACCAGTCTAGTCAACACGAAGATGATGATGATAATAATAACAGTGTAATAATTAATGTCTTCCCCTGGTTCCCATTTCATATGGGCTCGCTCAGGGATCCTCGGTTTACGTGTGAGTTAAAATAAATAAATGAATAAATCATATGATTATTTCTTCTTCTTTGTAAGTTTTTTCCCCCTTTTCTTTCCTCTTTTCTCTTTTATTCTTTTTAAGGTACCCGGTGTTGTCTTATGACAACATGATAAATTTGCAGCAGTGAAAATATTGGATGGTTTCCCTTAATTTGTCGCTAGGGTTGTGTCCGTCCCTAGGTTTAAATGCTAGCTCGACAACAAGAATCTTTACGTAAGCTGCAAATTTAACAAGTAGCTAGACGGTCCGTATTTGAAATCGGATTTGGATCCTCTCCACTACAAAAAAAATAGTGGAGAGACCACTATTTTTAATCTCAATCGTTAATTACTTAGTAAACGGTTATGATACAATCTAAATCTAACACTCATTATACACCCGTGTATTGCGCTCATTCCTAATTTACACTCAAAGAAAAAATCACAACTACCAACTAGATAATCAATGGTTGTGATTATGTAGTAGTCCATCCACTACCTTTTAGATAGTGGAGAGGATCCGAATCCTTTGAAATCTATATATTCTTCCAGAGAGGGAATAACTGGGGGTTTGCACACACTGATCGATACGGGAATTAAATGTCATTTTATGTATGCTACCATACCTTAATTACAACAGATCCAATAATTAAGGAATTTCTCTTCTTTTTCACGTGTATTTTTGGTCTAGCATGTAGTGCCAAAAACAATGATATGCTCTGATACCACTTGTTGTGCGCGGCGCGGAAGCGTGACAACCAAACGGGCGTGCTTCGAGAACCAAATATAACAATCGTCTTGTTGTGCGCGGCGCGGAAGCGTGACAACCAAACGGGCGTGCTTCGAGAACCAAATATAACAATCGTCGAGATAAAGGCCAAACAAATCAAAACACCAAATATAACAATCGTCGAGATAAAGGCCAAACAAATCAAAACAACGGCACAAATCCAAACACAATAGTAGTTTTACGTGGTTCGGCAAATTGCCTACGTCCACGGGGCAAGAGGGGGATTAGGTTTTCACTAATAGAGAAGAAGAGTACAAACTGAGATTACAAAACGCTCAAACCAATCAACTAATCTCACCAACAAATCTCTTAATCTCTCCAAATAAACCCTCAAACAATTGCTCAGAAAAACTCTCCTTTTTCTGTGCTCCAATATCCCCAAACCAATCTCCAATCAAAGCCAAAGAAACCCTAATTCGTATGTTGGTATTTATAGAAAACACCAAACCCAAACAGAATCCAAATAGGAACTCTAACTGTGCAAAAAAACCCGTCGTAAGTCGACTTAACAGAGGCCATAAGTCGACTTGGCAGAGAGAAAAACAGCAACTGGAGAACATATCGTAAGTCGACTTAACAGTCTGTATAAGTCGACTTGCCAGAGCTAAAAACCAACAATTCCAGAGCAGAACGTAAGTCGACTTATAGTCGGCTTACCATGAGTCGACTTATGACACAGAATCTGCAAAAAATGGAATTTTCCAAATTTCTCCACAATTCTCCACCTCGGCGAAGTTTTCCCAAAACTGAGCCGACACCAACCAAACAAATGCCTCACTTGTCGCGTCCAGTACGCCATAGCAACGGACTCCACCCACAACAAGTCGAGACCCAAATGGGAGTGCGAACACTCACCCCAAATGTCGATGTCGCTCACCAAAACGAACTGAGCCTACACCGACTACACCAAATGCCTCACGTGTTGAGACCCAAATGGGAGTGCAAACACTCACCCCAAATGTCGATGTCGCTCACCAAATCGAACTGAGCCTACACCGACTACACCAAATGCCTCACGTGTTGAGACCCAAATGGGAGTGCAAACACTCACCCCAAATGTCGATGTCGCTCACCAAATCGAACTGAGCCTACACCGACTACACCAAATGCCTCACGTGTTGAGACCCAAATGGGAGTGCAAACACTCACCCCAAATGTCGATGTCGCTCACCAAATCAAACTGAGCCTACACCGACTACACCAAATGCCTCACGTGTTGAGACCCAAATGGGAGTGCAAACACTCACCCCAAATGTTGATGTCGCTCACCAAATCGGCTGCATCATAAATGACTGCCTACGTATCATCTTGCCCAAGGAATCAAGCCTTCACGTAGTTCACCCAACGGCCTCCAAAGGCCCTCAATCCAATAGAAGAGTACGCAACCCTTCATCACCAAATCTGCGACTGATAGCACCTCCAATGGCCCCGAACTGACTCAATCCAAACACCTCCACCTGAGGTAAACCAATGGCCATATCCAAACTATATCTACCAGCTGCACTCGAATCTACCAACTCGTCATCCGCATCCAAATCCAAATGACTCACACGCTATGTCACCTCAGCTGGAATCTCCAATAATGCAGAATGACCTGGAGTACGTGGAGTAATCTCCACCTAACGTGGAGTAGCATCACTCTCTACCTGCTGCGATATCCAAATGACCTGATCAACACTCTCCACCCGTCGAGAGTCAAAAGTGACATACCTGCTCAGAACAAAATCAGAAGCTCCCAAACGATAATCAACTGAGCCTCCGAACCCCAAACGCGTAATCGGATCAAATCTCACATCCTCGATGTGACCAAATACTGGGTATCCAAATATCCGATGCAACCCAAAATCTGAAGCAGCTCCACCAGATCCAATAACTCCTAATGCAGCAGTTGGCGACCTGTGACTAAGGTGACCCAAATATGACGAAGCTCCAGAACCAATGCTCGAAAACCAACGTCGATCCTCCTCCAGAAAGGAACGACCCATTGAAACTGTCATCTCATCTCGTCGTCTCAATGTTTCCTATCCAATGAAGTATCTCAAATTGCCGTGAGCTCGGGACAAATACAGTAGGTCCCTCTTGTACCTCCCTCTACAACCAGAATAAAGTACCTTCACCTTACTGCCAATACACTTCTTCAACTGTTGTTGACTACTAGGACTTCAAAACCAATGGGAATTAGTTGCAACCCTTAAATGCCTAGTACAATCCCCAACATAGAAAACCAAAATACTAATTTACCTTACAATGATGCCTCTTTGGAAAGCCCCCAAATGCCTGACTGAACACCAAATAGAAGACCCCTCAATCATCAAATAGAAGTGCCAAACTCCATCTCGGTCTCCTTGCTCATACCAATGTGCTCAAAGGACTTCAATATACAGGTCAATGGCACTTCTCAATAATCCAATGCACCGTATCAACAAACAAATAACCCAGCTTCAAATCCTTCTATCTCGGCCAACTATCTCAAAGCACCAACAAATGAAGAATAGATCCAAACTGATAAAGGAGAGATTTTTACCTCCAATTGAAACCCTAACAAGAGTCTCCAAACGATCTCACCCCGCACGACGGTAACGAGATCCACAAATAGGAAAAATCCCACCTTTATCTCCAAACGAAGCCCTCGAAGAGCCTCCAAAACGATCTACTCCTCCAAATAACCCAAACGCCAACAAACCAATGCGGAACAAACGAAGAATAGATCCAAAACTGAGAAAAGAAAGAAGCTTTACCAAAAAGATCCCATCTTTCTCACCAAACGAAGCCCTAGATGAACTTCCAAAGCGATCTACTCCTCCAAATAGCCCAAGCGTAGCCCGAGCTCTGATACCACTTGTTGAGACGGACGGCGGCGCCGAGGAACCAAAAACAAACGCCAATCAAAGAAGGCCAAAAACAACCAAATATCAATGCATAAACACAAACACCAATTTTAACGTGGTTCGGCAAATTGCCTACGTCCACGGGGCAAGAAGGGGATTGAGAGTTCACTAATAGAGAAGAAGAGTACAAACTGAGATTACAAAATGCTCAAACCAATCAACTAATCTCACCAACAAATCTCTTAATCTCTCCAAATAAACCCTCAAACAATTGCTCAGAAAAACTCTCATTTTTCTGTGCTCCAATATCCCCAAACCAATCTCCAATCAAAGCCAAAGAAACCCTAATTCGTATGTTGGTATTTATAGAAAACACCAAACCCAAACAGAATCCAAATAGGAACTCTAACTGTGCAAAAAACCCGTCGTAAGTCGACTTAACAGAGGCCATAAGTCGACTTGGCAGAGAGAAAAACAGCAACTGGAGAACAGATCGTAAGTCGACTTAACAGTCTGTATAAGTCGACTTGCCAGAGCCAAAAATCAACAATTCTAGAGCAGAACGTAAGTCGACTTATAGTCGGCTTACCATAAGTCGACTTATGCCTGTGCATGAGTCGACTTATGACACAGAATCTGTAAAAAACTGGAATTTTCCAAATTTCTCCACATAGCAAACTGTTGACAATAGTGTATTGTAGTGGGTTTTAGTCCCACATTGCTTGGGAGAACACACTTCATACTCCTCTACTTTTATAAATATATGTCCACACTCAATATTCAACTCAAGGAAAATTTACCCAAGATTCTCTCTCTCTCTTACTTTAACATGGTATCAGAGCTAGGGCTATTTCCCTTCCAATAAAAATTTTAACGCTTCTGCGTTCTTTTGCCAAATCTTGGCCTTATTGCTTTACAGCCGTTTAATGTGTTTTTTTTTTTTTTTTGCGTTCATCTGCCAGATATTTTGGCCTTGCCGCTTTGCGACCTCTTAACGTGTTTTGCGTTCTCGTTTAACCTTCGGGTTTTATTCTAACATTCGGGTTCTATTTTAAACCTTCGGGTTTCATTCTAACCTTCGGGTTCTATTTTAACGGCATTGTCGTTTCAAGACCG